GGAAGGTTATCGAACAAATAACATACAACTGTTGTTGCTGTTGTTGCATTCATCTCTCACAACTTCGTTCTAAAAGTGAACAAAACCTGTTTGTAGTTTGAGAATATCAGAGGTGCATTACCACCATCATGGTTGAGAATCGTTGGTTGGTTTAGACATTATTCATCGATCAGTCATGTGACTGTTTCACGTAGGCTCTTGTTTCTGCTGAGTAATTTCAGCACGCGCCTACGTACACGCACTTTGCTTGTGTACACGCGGACAGGAAACGAAGACAAGCACAAAGTCTGTTTCAGAACAGTCTTTCGACGAAGCAAAGAGCTGAGTCGGCCCTGTGCGTAGTGCGGAAAAATTGCATGTGTTTGCTCGCTGTTCTGAAAATTTATTGTTAATATTAAACATTCCTGTTCACACCCTGGCCTACCAAATAAGACACATTGTGTAAACTCTGTAGGCTTGTTGAACAGCCTTCCATCGGCAGCAATTGCACGTAAAAGATGTATGTTTACCGGGATGCCAGCTGAGCCACGGATTATATGGAGAAAAATGTCCACCGGTTACACTATGGTAGTTCTTTTTGTATATCGTAGTCTTAGTGAGACCTTAAGCTGGTCACATGGTATAACTTACACCAGTCAACGCCTATTGTGATGATGAATAGAATGATAGGTTTTCGAGAAATACACTAATTTGCGAATCAATTTGGCCTTCACGAGAGACTCAACTGAATCTCTCGTTTGTGATATTCTGCAACTGAATGTGCTGCACACAGGTCGCCTAATGATTTAGTTGGCACGATATTCGAGATATTGTAGGGGAACTGCGTCTACCCGATGAGCCCCAAGAAAGGCGAAACCGTCGTGGGCTGTCAACGGGTTTCCAGCAACCTTGTGAGTAGTTTCCTCTATGAAAACATACTGCGATATCTCGAACATCGTGCCAATTGAATCATGAGAAGCACTCCGGCTGTAGCATATCATAAACGAGAGATTCAGTTGAGCCTCTCATGAAAACTAATTTGATTAGCAAATGAGCATGTTTCTCGAAAACAGTCCAATTTGGGTTCAAGTAGAATACAAGGTTACTGGAAACTCGGGGACTGCGTCTACCTGATGAGCCCCAAGAAGGATGAGATCGGACGTGGGCTGCCAAAGAATTTCAGCAACCCTATGAGTAGTGCAATCTGAACAGTTATTCATCTGACTCGTGTGCACGTTATTTGAGATGCCTTTCAATAGTTGACATCCATCAACAGATCAAGAATTTTTGAATTCTACATGAGTTTTATGTCAAAATTCCGTAAGAAGTAGAGACATGCCACAGCTTCGGACAACCGATAGTAAATAGAGTCCCATGAGAATGGAAGTCCTCTCAGGGAAATATTTTTTGTTTGATGTCTCCCCTATTCATTTTGACTCATGAAACTGTTAGTTAGTTAATTCACCAGATAGCTGGTTATCACACCAACGAAGGTTTACAATCCCGAGCGGCTATAATTTTTGTGGTTCGACAGAGTTAATTCCATAGTGGAATGATCGAATGTTGATGATGGATTAGGTGGCCGGCTAGAAAATTAGCATGAAAGCACTGTGCCCCCAGTCCAGCAGACATAGTCAGGAGGAAGAGGAGCAAATTTTATTTTTGTCCTTTTAAATTAGAACATCCCCACTTACGGTCTATGTTACTCATAGCAGCCGTGCGCCGATTTTGGTAGCAAGTCTTACTCGATGCACACTAATCTTCTAATACAACCAGCATTTGAATGGTTCGCTCAGAGTGACGCAAACAAGGTTAAGATTATCTGCCAAATGATGGTCTCGAAAAATGCGCCAAAAGTGTCTCAAAATTCGAAATCAAAATTAAAAGTAACAAACCATTTTAGCATGACCATTTGCTGGGAACAAAATGGAAATCAATCCTCTGGAACTGTGAAGTAGTGAATGTGGAGATTTGTATATGAATGAAGTCTGGTCCGACTGAGTATTTCAGTGATTTTTTGTCAACAACAATCTGCTTTTTAAAGTCACCAAACGCCTCGAATTGGAAAACGCTTGTCAATATCACATTTAGAATGCGACAATCTAAAAACAAAATGTCCTTTACTTCATACAGAAAAATATTTATGAAAGTGTCAAACATGGTTTTTCACTTATGAAAAATTTGTGTATTGACTCCTGAGCGATCAGTTATACGAGCCAGGAAAACAGGGTCAGAAGTGGTAATTGTTAATGATGGATCCTAATGCTAAATTTGGTCATGCATATATGTTCCGGTTACACTAGCTATAGCTTATAAGGTCGTGTCATCTTTCCAAGTGCGTACTTGACACCTATATATGGAAAACAGCAGCAGCATGATACTCACCCATTCACCCACAGACCGATCACACAAACAAGAACGTTGTGGCAAAAGGATACCGCAGTAATCGGACCGACGAAAATCAGCGTCGCCATACAGCAAGCACCGTAATACACGAAGATCACCATCAAAAACTTAAGTGACAGAATTTTCGGCACACTTTCGCCCGTCTATGGATGTCTGAACAGGAAAAATTTTCCCGTTTGTTGTAAGCGATGAACAAACCAAAGCCGAGTGCAGCTATCCAGTTTATCGAAATTTCGTTCCGTATGTGAACTGAGGCGTGTTATCAAACGTTTTCATAGTATGATATATTCGCCACGAATAATTTCTGATTGGAAATTCTCATGATCTTCATATCATCCGCAAACAAGCGTAGAAGTTGCTTGACTTCGTTCCAGGCTTCGAATTTTCCTGAAACTGAGCTGCTAGTTTTTAGTTGGATTTCGTTCCTAATTTTTTTCGCGATGCTAATGGAAAACCTGAAAATTTAGAAGAAACAGGCTTGGTCTAGTAGTGCTTTCATGATTTTAGCAGTGTGTTTCGAAAAAGGTGGGTAGTCTAGGGTCTTCCGTGAATGACGTTAGTCTTTACCCAGTTGATTTTGAGGAAGTATCCCTTCAGCGACTGAACTGACTGGTTTCATACAAAATTTACTATCCACTAAAAAAACTATATCGGAGCAACTGACTGCTGCTAGTGTTTCATGCAGTTAATTTGGTGGTGTATGAGCAAACTTCCCCTGCGTGCTCAACTTTCAAAAGTACTGACTGATTGCATTCCCACAAGCCTCACAAATCCTTACAGAATTCCAAACAAGCAATCGTTCAGTCATTTGACCAGAAGTACTCGACCGGCAGTGCGATTACCTTGCACTCAGAGGAAACAATGCTTCACCTGCAGGAAGAAATTGTCATCATAACATCAAAATTTTCCATAAAACTACAAAACACAAGTGACTGATTCAGAAGAGTATAAAAGTAACAAACTACCACAGTCGTCACCCAAGTAGTCAGTCAACACGTGAAGTGGAGTGGAGGATGATTAATGTAAAATTTTCCCTAGGTTAAGCTTAGGGTAATGACACCGCTGATTCGCCATTCCTTACAAGGTGGTGTAGAAGATATTAAATTTGGATCCTCCCATGGACTCTTCAGGTTTGGACTGCTGAACATTCCGAAGAAGGTTAAACTGAACAGTGCTTCTCGGTTTTTCTGCAAAGCCTGGCTCAATCTAACTAGAAAACCGTTTATCGTAACTTCGCTCACTCCCATCTGTTTATAATTAGGGAATTACCGCGGCTATATTCTTTTTTATTCGACGAAGGTAGCGACAATGGCTTTCATAGCTTGGGACGTAATCTGTTCGATTTCACTTCTTAGAATACCCTTGTTATAAAGTACCATTACTTTGATGCTTCCGTTTGCGATGATTTTGCGTTGCGTGCACAGCAGTGTATCAGTAAGGAGTCCAAATACAGCGTAGTAATCAATCACCTCCTCCGAAATTAAACTATACGAACCACCAATGCCTGCTGTGCAAAACCGTCGCTACACCCGATTTCCGGCGCTGCGGTGTGCTTGGTGAGGCTTTGCGGTTAAAACTTTCTGAAGCACAAATGTTATTACCTACTTATGAGTAGACCGGATCGTCAAAACATCAGACAGAGGTATACCAGACCAGATTGCATCCATGACCCTGTTTTGTCTGGTTTAGTACAGTCGCGTTAGATTTGTTAGGGACTATAACCTCAGTCACACAGAAAGCGGAACTAAATAAAAGCTAAAGGTTAACTAAATATACTCAGCTGTAAACTAATTTGGTTTTGCGTGAGACTCACCTGGAACCCAGCTGAATCTCACGTTTGTGATGTTTCCAGGTAAAGCTAAAGGTGCGTCACCGAAAATGCTCTTTAAACAGTCTAACTCCTCTGTCCTCACACCCAAATGTTTCATAACGCCACAGGCCAAAACGGAAGTTCATCGCTGTGCATACGTCAAAAGGAAATTCCACCGGCTTCTTTAGACAAATTCGTAAAACCAAACAGGCTGAACAACACTATGCGGAAGCACCGACGATTCGCAACCAATAGGAAATCATCGCCTAAAACGACCATGCCAATGTCTGCTGTATGGTCAGCAACAAACAGCAACAAAATTGACCAAACGCGTGATGCGTTGAACTCAACTTTGAACTACAAACGATGTCATAATTCTTATCCTAATCGAATGACCTTTTTCTGGTTTTCTACCACTAATGACTACTTAAGTGTCGAAAATAACATAGGCTGACCGAAGAACCATTATTCAACCAAAGTATGGGTGTTTATTCTGTGTGACAGGTGGTTTTACTGTTAAAAGCACTTCTGCACATGTATTCGAAACCAGCCAAGAGTCTTCTGGGAGTCAACTGGCAACTCTGTGTGAATTTAATTGGTCATTTACAAAGATCTGTTGTTAGTTATAGCATGTATCTGTAAATAGCAATCCTCAGAGGAAAAATTGACCCACTTCACTGAAGTTAGTTCTGAACTATCAAGAAAAACTACAAACATTGAAAACATGTATAAATGTATGTAAGAACCAGCGGTAAAGTACAAATAGCCGTTTTTGGACGAGGCTTTCAGGCTTGGTGGGAGATTTTCAAGGGTCCCAGGAAAGTCCGGGTTTGGCGTGAGGCATCGAAGCACAACATCCTCCTGGTGGTTTTTGGCCGAATTCCACACGGTACTTCAACTCTTGGTTGCTCACAAGCTTGAAAATACTCAGCAGAACAATGATGACCGTGCCAACAACGAGCATGATCGTATCGAATTGTGAGAACTCCTGGTCGCACTGGCCGGACGGCTGAAATATCATCGATAGTCAGTGTTTACAGGTGAAATGATCGAGTGACCAGATATCAGTGATACCCTATGAATCACAATACTACTGGCTGAGGTAACCACAGACTTCAATCTATGTAGTGAGTGTATACATTTTATTTTGAACCATAACTACGATTAACTACAAAGAGGCAAAATACAGATTGCATACTTGCGAACAGCGTGGCCATGATGTAGACACTTTGTAAAACAATGACAATAAATCGAGTGCTCTCACCTACTGCTTCTTAATCCAGCCTCAAAAACCCTATAGAATTCGGGTTGGTGTCACGTCAAAACATCCTAATTGGAACAAATAGACAAATGTTTAATAGCAATAACAAAATTTTGGAATCTGGAAGGTTATCGAACAAATAACATACAACTGTTGTTGCTGTTGTTGCATTCATCTCTCACAACTTCGTTCTAAAAGTGAACAAAACCTATTTGTAGTTTGAGAATATCAGAGGTGCATTACCACCATCATGGTTGAGAATCGTTGGTTGGTTTAGACATTATTCATCGATCAGTCATGTGACTGTTTCACGTAGGCTCTTGTTTCTGCTGAGTAATTTCAGCACGCGCCTACGTACACGCACTTTGCTTGTGTACACGCGGACAGGAAACGAAGACAAGCACAAAGTCTGTTTCAGAACAGTCTTTCGACGAAGCAAAGAGCTGAGTCGGCCCTGTGCGTAGTGCGGAAAAATTGCATGTGTTTGCTCGCTGTTCTGAAAATTTATTGTTAATATTAAACATTCCTGTTCACACCCTGGCCTACCAAATAAGACACATTGTGTAAACTCTGTAGGCTTGTTGAACAGCCTTCCATCGGCAGCAATTGCACGTAAAAGATGTATGTTTACCGGGATGCCAGCTGAGCCACGGATTATATGGAGAAAAATGTCCACCGGTTACACTATGGTAGTTCTTTTTGTATATCGTAGTCTTAGTGAGACCTTAAGCTGGTCACATGGTATAACTTACACCAGTCAACGCCTATTGTGATGATGAATAGAATGATAGGTTTTCGAGAAATACACTAATTTGCGAATCAATTTGGCCTTCACGAGAGACTCAACTGAATCTCTCGTTTGTGATATTCTGCAACTGAATGTGCTGCACACAGGTCGCCTAATGATTTAGTTGGCATGATATTCGAGATATTGTAGGGGAACTGCGTCTACCCGATGAGCCCCAAGAAAGGCGAAACCGTCGTGGGCTGTCAACGGGTTTCCAGCAACCTTGTGAGTAGTTTCCTCTATGAAAACATACTGCGATATCTCGAACATCGTGCCAATTGAATCATGAGAAGCACTCCGGCTGTAGCATATCATAAACGAGAGATTCAGTTGAGCCTCTCATGAAAACTAATTTGATTAGCAAATGAGCATGTTTCTCGAAAACAGTCCAATTTAGGTTCAAGTAGAATACAAGGTTACTGGAAACTCGGGGACTGCGTCTACCTGATGAGCCCCAAGAAGGATGAGATCGGACGTGGGCTGCCAAAGAATTTCAGCAACCCTATGAGTAGTGCAATCTGAACAGTTATTCATCTGACTCGTGTGCACGTTATTTGAGATGCCTTTCAATAGTTGACATCCATCAACAGATCAAGAATTTTTGAATTCTACATGAGTTTTATGTCAAAATTCCGTAAGAAGTAGAGACATGCCACAGCTTCGGACAACCGATAGTAAATAGAGTCCCATGAGAATGGAAGTCCTCTCAGGGAAATATTTTTTGTTTGATGTCTCCCCTATTCATTTTGACTCATGAAACTGTTAGTTAGTTAATTCACCAGATAGCTGGTTATCACACCAACGAAGGTTTACAATCCCGAGCGGCTATAATTTTTGTGGTTCGACAGAGTTAATTCCATAGTGGAATGATCGAATGTTGATGATGGATTAGGTGGCCGGCTAGAAAATTAGCATGAAAGCACTGTGCCCCCAGTCCAGCAGACATAGTCAGGAGGAAGAGGAGCAAATTTTATTTTTGTCCTTTTAAATTAGAACATCCCCACTTACGGTCTATGTTACTCATAGCAGCCGTGCACCGATTTTGGTAGCAAGTCTTACTCGATGCACACTAATCTTCTAATACAACCAGCATTTGAATGGTTCGCTCAGAGTGACGCAAACAAGGTTAAGATTATCTGCCAAATGATGGTCTCGAAAAATGCGCCAAAAGTGTCTCAAAATTCGAAATCAAAATTAAAAGTAACAAACCATTTTAGCATGACCATTTGCTGGGAACAAAATGGAAATCAATCCTCTGGAACTGTGAAGTAGTGAATGTGGAGATTTGTATATGAATGAAGTCTGGTCCGACTGAGTATTTCAGTGATTTTTTGTCAACAACAATCTGCTTTTTAAAGTCACCAAACGCCTCGAATTGGAAAACGCTTGTCAATATCACATTTAGAATGCGACAATCCAAAAACAAAATGTCCTTTACTTCATACAGAAAAATATTTATGAAAGTGTCAAACATGGTTTTTCACTTATGAAAAATTTGTGTATTGACTCCTGAGCGATCAGTTATACGAGCCAGGAAAACAGGGTCAGAAGTGGTAATTGTTAATGATGGATCCTAATGCTAAATTTGGTCATGCATATATGTTCCGGTTACACTAGCTATAGCTTATAAGGTCGTGTCATCTTTCCAAGTGCGTACTTGACACCTATATATGGAAAACAGCAGCAGCATGATACTCACCCATTCACCCACAGACCGATCACACAAACAAGAACGTTGTGGCAAAAGGATACCGCAGTAATCGGACCGACGAAAATCAGCGTCGCCATACAGCAAGCACCGTAATACACGAAGATCACCATCAAAAACTTAAGTGACAGAATTTTCGGCACACTTTCGCCCGTCTATGGATGTCTGAACAGGAAAAATTTTCCCGTTTGTTGTAAGCGATGAACAAACCAAAGCCGAGTGCAGCTATCCAGCGATGAAGAGCCGTGGATTTTTCGCAGCCCAACAACGTCCTGAGAAAATGCGACATTTCGTCGGCGGCACTTAGAAATTTTTAACAACAGACAAAAAAATCTGGAAACGCTGGCCTTGAGCTGAAGTAGGTGAAGATCCAAAGTAACCAACATCACATCCACCCCGATTATTCAGTTTGATTAACTCGTTCAGCTACTGAAAAACTATGAGTAGCCTATATTTAACCTATCCAATATTTCGGTGTTGGCTCACGGTCTTTGAAGCTGGGCTACGTGTGTTCCAGACAAATTCCGAAGCCACGAAAATTCAGTATGAGAACGTCCATACCCTGATGTTTCGCAGTGCAGGGATTCAGCTTGTCATACAAACGAAATCCCTGAAGTTCCCAATAAAGCACAGAGCTAGTAGTGAGATTTCAGGAGAAAATATTAGCTTACCCATAAAAGTTTTTAATTTATCCTAAAAATTCCACGAAGAAAAAAGAGAACTCGTAGCAAATACACTAATTTCGAGAATCTTCGGGGAAATCGATGAACTAACAGGAATTGTATGAAGGAGCACTGTAAGGGAACCCAGTGACTCATTAAGTATAGGATCGTGAGGAATGAACATTACTGAGTGCAAAATGTGATACCGAGGAAAATCAAACAAATATCACTCAAATACTAATATCTTGGGAACAACGTTTGAGTTTCTTGAAAATAACAAAGGGAAGAAATGCTGCATTTTTGGAAAAAGCTTGCGTCCAGTGCTCCAAAGATCTCGAAAAATCTTGGTTTATGTCTTAATTTCGGCATGAATAAAACCGCGGTTTCAGAAATCAGAAAATCAGATACTAATTTCTGGTTCATGTGCAGCCCGAAGCAGCAGTGATTTGTGGCATACAAAAATACAGGGCCACCAAAATTGACAACAGATTCTACATGGTTACTTCCCGCATCATAACTGAGCGGGCAAAAGAGATATCAATAAGCCAGTTGACTGTTATGTTTATGCTACCATTAACATAAGCAGCATTCACCAGTTCATGCAGTATATCTCTGTCGTTGTGACCGAAATTCCCCTATAGTAATCAGCACTCTGCGACGAGCTATGCTCGCCATATGAACAAAATGCTCGCTCAGTAAAGCTCACTAAAGGTAGCCATGCAAATTCTCGATTTTTCGGGTGACCATACATATCATTTCTTTAGAAAGCTTTCCCAATGAACAGTAAATGCATTACAATGGCGTCATTTTTCTGGCTAGTGGGTCTAAGTTCCGGGCAATTTATTTTCCTACCACAATCCTTGTGCGACGATTCAAGAAAAAGGTTGGAAAATAACCACGTGATGAGTGTCTGAATCGAAGGAAGACCATCCATTTGCACCTGAAAGTAAGACATGACAAGCAATTGCTCCGACGCCCTCAGACTAGGACAAGTGAGAAACACTCCTCAGCTTAGTAAAGCTCACAAGTAGTATACATTTGACTGTAAGTTCACACCAGTTCAAGTAACAATCAAAGCTATTCTGCATTTTAGTTGCAGTTAGGTGAATTGTTTGAAGAAGCTGTAAAATACTGTAGAGAATCTATCGCTAAAAATATTTTGCGGGAGTATTTTGAGTTTGAAAAGGAGGTTGCCCCAACTATCTTTAGCCGAAAATTGTAAGAACGACTCGTAAGCTGAGTAATTCAAGCAAGCTATTTTGTCGAAATGCATTGGCGGTGAATCGATTGTCGCTGCGCTGTTTTGTTAAAAATCAAATGCAAAACATTCTCTAACAGATATTCAGTCACTCTCGTGATATCAAATCATAACCGATTCATGGACTAATAATTTCAGTAGATTGAAAAACGTTTCCCGACATCTTATTTATTTGGATAACAGACCGATGCATTTTTTTCTGTCAACAAAAGTCATGTGCGGAACGTTCTCTCTTTTTAATGCGGTGGTATAAGCGAAGCACAGGCAAAATTAAGATAATTTCTAGCATCTTAATGAACCTAAACATCTAAACGATTGGGAACATTATCATGTCTAAAGAGTAAAGTTTACAGGCTCTTACAGAACTCCTGGAAAAATCCATAGCATTTAGTAACTAAATATCAAGATGTTTTTGGAAAGGCACCCCGTCTCAAAGGATGACTGGAGTCGTGGGTACCAAAAAGACGATAGTAGAGAGCTCGTTTTGAAATTCAACATGGCAGCAGGTCTTACATACTAAGAATAAAACGTGCCTTGATCGCTTGAGGATATAAACAGGTTGAGGATATCAGCAGTGTCTTCAAGTTCTAAAAGATAAACTGGGATGGTAGTGGAAATGGGACTACCCAGTCTGTGAGCATGGCGGGGTAAACGTCGGTATTGGATAGTATGAAGTAAGGCAGACTGGACATGCCGTTGAGTGCCGAGTAAATCTTCAATTAAAGGTGTGGGTAAAAGCTAGTTGGGCACACCAATGAAGGTACTACAGGCCACCTCACCTCCTTTTAAAGTTTTAAACAAAATGCTTTCCCGTAAGTGTGTTTACCTAGGAAGGTAAAATTCTCCTCACATGCATACTCCAACTTTGTTTTATCCCAATAACAATGTTTGGCTCTCAACATGACAGTGACATTTCCCAAATACTCAGTAGATAAGTGAAGTTTTCATATTTGCTACACACGGTTTGCATATATGGCGCCCCTTGCACTTCTGTTACCGCAGTCGTTTAATAAAATTTCACCAACGTCGAGAAAATCCTGTGGGATACGCGAAATTTTGCGGGCGTTATCTGCTGCTAGTTTGGTGAGCCCGAGCACTTCTAGATATTTTTTTGAAAGCTTTTTCTTTCAAGTCATTGTGATTTTGTTTCTTTTTGCCTGGTAATATGGAGACACACTCTGATTCAGCGGATTTAGTCGAGAATGCAATTAGCATACGTTTGCCAGACTACAATCCACGCAACCCCCGCGTATGGTTTCACCAGGTGGAGGCCGTTTTTGCTACCCGACGCATCACATCCCAAGTCACCCGGTTTTCCTATATTGTCCAGCATCTTCCTTGTGATGTAGCAACAGAAGTTGAAGATCTGTTGGAAGATATTCCTAA